TTTGGGGTGACGGGTTTGTAGGAATGGCAAACGGGAAGACAGATTCGTCAAACGAAATATCCCGAGTATGAAAGAAACGATGAGACTCAAGATCATAAACCCGCCAACCTTTAGTACCGGTAGGATACCCCATAAACATACATTTGAGACTACGAGGATGGAATTTATTGGGAGGGCGTTGAATATTGCGGACAAAACAGAGACACCCAAACACTCGAAGGTGAGACAAGTCTGGAGGTTTTGAAGAAAGTAGTTCAAAAGGAGATTTACCTTGTAAAAGTGGAGTGGATGTACGATTTATGAGATAAACGGCTGTACGAACACATTCCCCCCAAAACTCAAGAGGTAAAGAAGCTTGAAACATTAAAGACCGTGCAACATTTAGAATATGACGATGCTTACGCTCAACCCGACCGTTTTGCTGTGGAGTATTGACACAAGAGGTTTGAACAAGAACTCCTTTACTTGCATAAAATTCACGAAGGGGTCGGTTGAGGAACTCAGTACCGTTTTCAGAACGAACAACTTTTATGATTTTATTGAACTGAGTATGAATAAGAGAAAAACTGTTTCAAGCAACTAGTAACTTCACTTTTCTCAACAAGTAGAAAAACCCAAACAGCTCTAGAAAAATCACCCACAATAGTAAGGAAATAATGAGACCCAGTAGAAATGCAGGGAGAGTATGGTCCCCATAAATCACAATGAATTAAATCAAACAATTGTTCAGCTTTATTGATACTGGGAGTAAAATGAGAACGAGTCTGTTTGGAAAAGAAACAAATATCACAAGACTGAAACTTTTTAATGTCACTAGTGCTTTTATTAAATGGAGGAAAAGATAAAACTTGAGGAGATGGATGACCAAGACGTTGGTGCAATAAGGAAACTGACTCGGCTTTGAACGCTTGGGCTTGAGAAGGAAAGACATAGACCCCGTTGTGTGCTTCACATTGACCAATCCGCGTCTTCGTAGTTCGGTCCTGTATCACACAAGAATGATCATCAAAGAAAACATGACAGTTATGTGAGTTGACAAGACAGCTCACTGATATCAAATTACACTTCAAATTAGGAACATAAAGAACATTGTGTAAAATTAAAGAAGGAGACACTTGCACCCGACCACAAGAACTTGCCACCACATGAGCCCCATCGGGCAAGCTTATAGTACAAGGAGGCCTCTGCACTATGTCAGTCAAACAAAAAGCATCCCTGTCATATGATGAGAAGCTCCACTATCAACTAGCCACTCACCTTGCTCCATGGAAGACATACCATACAATTCCAAAATGACGCCAAAAGCAAACACAAACAGAACAAAAATCCCAATTTCAATCCACGATTGACGAACAGAGCGCAACCAATTCAATTGCAAAAGGGAATCACCAGTGGCAAATTCAGCCGTGGACTTCACCCAATTTTGACTGGACAGAACAATTCTAGTTTCAGCCGAATCAGAAACAATTCCTGGTGTGCCAGATGCTTGTCCGATCGCCGAGCAGAGAAAAAGAAAAACCAAAAATTGGTGCTTGATGCTTGTCCGATCGCCGACCAGAGAAAGAAAAAAAAATAGGTGCTTGATCTTTAATATGCCAAGGAAATTGTCGGCCCACTATTGCAAAACATCAAGCCAACGGACGATCAAAAACAAATCAATCTGCAAAAATAATTTTACGGCGTCCAACAGTGACTCGTACGCCGGAGAGTAGAAACGCACACAACCCTAGGTGGTTTTGGCTGTGATACCATGTAGAAATTTAGAGTAAAACTGATCTGATTTTCATTAATCACAAACCGATATATATACAAGTACATAAACGGGCTAACAGGTACGGGCCCAATAACATGATATGGCTAACAGGTACGGGCCCAATAACATGATATCTACGGTTATTTACAAATATCCGCTAACACATAACATCACTATATATGTTGGAAACTTAATTTATTTTGTATCCGTCGTGGTACGTATGTAATTATTAATCGGGTTTACTAACGCTTTTAACGTACTGTTAATTAATGGACGTGTGTTCTTCTAAGTGAAAAATGTTTTGATATATTATGCGCCAAAAATGAATAAAAGGTTACGTAAATTAGAAATTGATTTTCAAATTTGACATGTTGTGTAGAAGAATTGGACTGTTATATTAGGTTTATGTGCAATTCTCTCCTATATTGTAAATTTATCCCATAAATGTTCCGATACAAGTACCGAAACCTACATTGGTGAGATTATTAAAAGATAATCTGCACCATCATCGCCACAGTTCCACATTAACAGTCAATACAGTATCAAATAAAGACATAATAATGTCAAACATGGTATCATGTCATGTCACATATGACAATATATAATAGTAAAACTTGCACCAAATAGGACTAAAACATAATGACTTTCCCAATGTAGGACTTAAACTTTTTTATTCTCTAAATAGGACTTAATAATGACCTAGTGGGAAGAATAATGTCCAGTAATGATGGACATTTACTTGAATAATGACTACATGATAATGACCAAAAGTCCTACATTGGGAAATAAAAACATATGGTCCTATATTGGGAAGTCATTATGTTTTAGTCCTATTTAGGTAAATTTCTCTATATAATAACATAGATGTCCATATATAATGTCACATATGCTCGTATATAATGTCACAATGTTACACAATGACATAATGCTTAACCAAACCCAATGACATTGTGTAGTAGATACTTGAAATGTAAAAGTCTTCTACAGCTCACTAAAAGCGCAGCATGCAACGAAAGGTTTTCTGGTAGACCAATTAATCTTCATCGATGCTTCTCTTTACCTTTTTCATTATAGCAAAAAAAAACTAATCTTCAGCATCATTTCGAATCTTGATCGAACTATCGCTGCCCCCATCCATCCCCTTTAAATCACTCAAATTCGCAACAAAGTGACATATCTTACTTAAATAAATAAAAATAAATCAAATTCAAAGCTTTTCTAGTGTAAATTCTAACTATTTTAGCAAAGTGTAAAGTGCCGGAACGAGATCCCTCGTGTGTTGAGTGATCAAGGCATTATACTCTTCATCCATGGCCTGACACCAATAACTATTCTGGGAGGCTTCGTTCCTTATATGTGACCGGATCTGTGGTTGGTGGGAGAGAGGGCTAAGTGGAGGTGGAATACATATAGTTTGGGTTTAAAAATGCCACTCCGTGCACGAGTTGTCATCGGGTAGCGTATGGGTGGCGATAGAGGTGGGGAGGGGATAGGTGACGATTCGGGACTACTCATGGTTGGGGAGAGGCTACCAAATTGGATAGGAGTGGGAGGGGTATGGGGCTGGAGTGACGGGCTGGTGGGTACGGGGCTAGGGCTGGGTGGGTTTCGGGTTACGGGTTGGCAGGGGGTGGGGTTCGGTTGGGTGGGTTGGGGTGTTTGAGTTGGGTTTGGGTACTCGTGTGAGCGTGGACCAGAAAGAGAGGAAGGATACTATGGAACACCGGAGATGGAGTAGTAGACGACCCTATCTGTGAAGAAATGGTGGAGTAGGGAAAGTGATTCTCTTGAAACTGGACATGACAGGAGATGTATATACGACCCGTGGTGCCCTCAAAAACACCGGTACCCTTTGAAGGAGGAATCATGCCCAAGAAATATACAAGGTTTGGCCCGGGGTTGGAATTTATTTGTGATCTCATGGTGAAGACACGGATAGGATAAACACCCAAAAATGCAAAATATGGAGTAGTCTGGCGGTTTGTGAAAGAGAGACTCATTGGGAGACTTGTGATTCAGAGACTGTTTGGGCATGCGATTGATCAGAAAATTTGTCGTGGCTAAGGCTTCAACCCAAAATTTGGCTGGGAGAGATGTTGTGCAAAGGAGTGTGACAAGGGTTTCGACTAAGTGACGATGTTTTCTCTCAGCCACCCCATTTTGTTGAGGAGTGTATGGACAGGATTTTTGATGGTTAACCCCCAAACTTTGCAAGAATAAACCAAATTTTGTATTGACATATTCCCACCCATTATTAGTTCGAAAAATTTTAATTTGTGCATTGAACTGAGTGCAAATCATAGATTGAAAACTGAGAAAAGCATCAAATGCAGTAGACTTATGTTTAAGAGGGTACAACCAACAAAATTTGGTAAAATCATCAATGAAATTAATATAGAAATGATAACCTCCAAAGGAGGGTACATAAGTAGGTCCCCATACATCAAAGTAAACAAGTTCAAAGAGGGCAGATGCTTTAGTTTGTGACACAGGGAAGGGGAGTTTATGAGATTTAGCAATAGAACAAGAATTACAATGTTCAAGTTCCTGAAATTTAAAACCCAATTGAGATAACAGAGACTTGGTGACTTGAACAGAAGGATGACCAAAACCGCAGTGCCATTGATAGGGAGTAACTTTGACGGAATTGACCAGTGGTGACGAACTGGAGGCAGGGAGAGAATATAAGCCACGCTCACAAGGGCCCTTGAAAAGAACTTGGTTGGTGGTGTTGTCCCGAATCGTAAAATCCTTGAAAGTGAAAAGTAGAGTATAAGGTGAAAATGTATGGTAAATTGATGAACAGACAGTAGGTGAAAATTAATATAAGGTGAATGAAGAAGATTGGTTAATGTAAAGGTATGGTTTGGTGTGGTTAGAGTACCTGAGCCTGTATGGTCAATAGGATAAGTATTACCTCCCGAAGTAGTAATAGAGTTGTGCCATGATAAGGTGAAGAAGTATGCAGCCGAGAAAAATCAAATGTCACATGAGCATTCGCTCTAGTGTCCAGATGCTAGTTCGGATTGGTTTCAGAAGATTGGTTGGTGTAGTATGCCTGTGGAGGACCGGAATAAGATTCATCGTAGCGGTGCTAACAATTCCAGACCGCATGGCAAGTCTTCCCACACAATTGACACGTGATGCCGACCCCGCGTCCACCACCGCGACCACGCTGGTGAGGACTGCCGGCCTCCTCTACCGCTGTAGCAGCTACCACAGGAGGGCCCACCACAGCCACGTCCCCGGCCAGTGCCCCGTCTAGAGTTGGTGAATAATGCATGGTGAAGATCTGTTGACGAGGGAGAACTAGAGTCACCAAGGTGCAGTTTCTTCTCAAAAGCCAGATTTAATTCTTCAGAGAGCAACCACGCAGACACTTGATTAAAGGTGATTGTTGCAATATTAGTGTGAATATTCTGTTTGAACGAGGCGTAGTCTGCCAAGAGGCCACGAAGTACACACAGGATAATATCTTGTTCAGAGATGTCCTCATGAGCCAGTTTCATAGAGGAGACAATAGTAAGGATAGTGTCCGGATATGTTTGCATTGAATCAGTGCCCCTTTGAATGCTACGCAAGCGCTCCTTCAATTGAAAAATATGTGTACGCAAAAGAGAATTGTACCGTTGTTCTAGATGATTCCAGATCGCAGCAGAGGTTGGAAGAGCATGCATATGAGTCTGAATGGTTGGAGAAACAATAGCAAGAAGACATGCTCGAATCTGAGCATCAACGAGAACCCATGAATCATAAGCAGGATTAGGTTTCATAACCGGCGGTTCATCCTTACCAGGGGCGGCGGATTTCTCGTCCAAAATTAGAGATGGAGGAGGCACTTCAGAACCATCAACATAACTGAGGAGACGATGAGCGATGAGATTTGCGCGAACCGAAGCTGACCAAGAGAGATAATTGGTATTATCAAGTTTGACCGGAGTTAGAGACTCAAAGTCCCGGACAAACAATTTTAGATCCGTAGGCAGACGATCCATGGGATCAGAGGGGAGAGAAGCCATGGCCGATTGGTAGAAGACCAGGTCGGCGGCGTGAAGATGAGTTAATGGGCTGGGCCGATTTGTTTTTTTCCTTGTATTACCGAGAAGAAGGAAGACACTGATCTTCGTGCTCTGATACTATATTGAATTATGATTTCAACTCAAGGAAATAATTGTGTACAAGGTATTTTATATAGATGGAGATTCCTGCATCAATTAGGATTCTTCAAGTATGGTAATTAACTATAATAACAATCCTTCCATAACTACATCTATTTCCATATTTATCTAACATATATATTTGAGGAAGAAGCCTTAAGCAAATTATTAAAGATACATACATGCATGCATGCATGCATGCATATATATATATATATATATATATATATATATATATATATATATATATATACGCAGTATGCAATCTGAGCAGCACGATGCATCAGATCCAAAGGCTAGATTTTATTCTTATTTCTTTCACCAAGGTGCATTCTCACCTGAACCGGCCTATATATATATATATATATATATATATATATATATATATATATATATATATATACTCCCTCCGTCCCTAAATATTTGTTACACTTATATTCACGAGAAAATATCAAGTTTTTTTAAATTTATTTTATTTACATATTGGTATAAAAATAAAAAATAAAATTTACCTAGCAAAAAACTACATAAAAATTTTTTCGAAATGAGAGGTGTCAAGAATATTTTATTTTATCAAATAACTAATGAAAATGTAGAATTAAACAAAAGTTCCTGCCACTATGAAAAAGCAAGTGTCAAATATTTTGGGATGGAGGGAGCATATAAAAGTGAGTTTTTAATAGAAAATGGAAGAAGTTTTTGGGACAAAGGAAGTATATTTTATGATATATACATAAATAAAGTTAGATTTTGAAATATTTATTTAATTAGACATTGATGTAAAATATAAAAAATCCTACATCAAAACTGTATAGAACAATAGAAATCATTAAATATGACTAAAACATAGGGAAAAGTACCAAAATAGGACTCTCATGTTTTTTTCTCGGAATAGTTCTTTGCACTGTGGTAATGTGACTTTGCATTGTGGTAATGTAGCAGTGTACATGTGCAAATTACTATACTTTCTTGGTAATGTATATGACCATGTTTGGTAATGTAAGTCCTATTTCGGAAATAAAAACATGGAAGTCCTATTTTGGTATATTTTCAGTGTTTTAGTTCTACTTTGGTCTTTCTCCCATAGAACAAGAGACGGTTGTAGTATTTTTTTTATATGATCAAATATTAAAATCAAATACAAGCTAATGTACATTATCGTAGAAAAAGATATTTAATTTAAATTGGTGAATAGTATTATAAATATGTATTCTGATAAAACATTACCAATCAAAATAGTTTTACTGAATTAAAGGAGTATTCGTGAAATAAAATTTGAAAGAGTAACGGTACATGACACTAACTTATTAAAAGACCAATGGTCCAATTCAGCCTATTATAAATCCAGGCACGCAACAGTACTATTCATTCCTTTTTAATTTGTTGGTTTACTTTTCAAACATAATCTTTGACCAACAATATCTCTTAAAATATATCTCTTCGTCCCAAAGTGATATCGCTGTTACCATTATGGTTTCTTGATAACCTTTGTTTATGTGTATATTTTCATTGATAATTTGATAATTTAAAATATTTTGGTCACCTATTACTCTATAATTTTTTTATGTACTTTTGAACGGTATAATTTATGTATTTTATTTTCTATATTGATTTGTAATTAAAATTATTTTAAAAGTAATAAGATTTTGCACGTGGTTCAATGTATGACATTGATTATGGGACGGAGGAAGTATTAGCAAAAAAAGAACCCCGGAGTATTAAAAATAGAGGAATTTACTTAAATAGCACTAAAACATAATGAATTTCTCTAAATATCACTACATATGTTTTTCTTCCCAATATAGCACTTTTAGTCATTATGCATTAGTCATTATTCAAGTAAATATTCACCATCACTGGACATTATGGATATTATTAAGTGTTATTTAAGGAAAAAACAGTTTAAGTGCTATTTAGAGAAATGACTTAAGTTTTAGTGCTATTTAGTGCAAATATTTCTTAAAAATAGTGCATTAAAAGTAGTTTTTGTTGGAAAATATTGATTAAATATTCAAAAAGAAAAGAAAAGAAAAATAAAAAAAGATCATGACAAAGGGAAAGTTAAAGTACTCCATGAGTGGAGTTAACTATAAAAAAGGTAGAAGTATGCACATGAAGGGATTCTCTCGTGTAGCAAATTGATTGGGGCAAATAAGTGTACTTCTCTTTGCCCTTTACAAGTGAAAAGCTACGAAGTATTTATGTGTGTGTGGTTTTCAACACACCACCAAGGTAGAGAGAGAAACATGAAGGAATTCTACACAAGAATACCACCCAGAAAATCTAATGGGCTTTGATGAGTGTTGGTGAGTGTAGGGAGTAGCTGATATCTAGTTACTCAGAAAAATACATTCGGGTATAGGATGTAGAAAGATCTGTTTAGGAATGTCTCGAATTTAGCATTGTAAACAGGGGAAAGTTTTTTGTATATTATTGTCCTGAAATAGTGGAAATATAATTTTTTTTCTCTCACATGGTCTTGTGTTTGTTCTCTCATTTTTTTTGGTGTTTTCAATATTTTTCGGTATCTTACACGCTAAAAATCCTAACAGTTTTTAATATGAGTAATATGTTATAACTTTTTGTTGAATTACAGCGGGAATAAAATAAATAGACTTAATCCGAACTTATAAAACGTTCGGATTTTACAACGATAATAAATAAGTTAATTGGAGTCTTAGGGAAGCTCGAACGATCTAAAACGGAAGCAGGAACACGAATGGATCGCTGGGCAGAGACGTCGGGTAGGGTGTCACCGAAGAAATTTCTTGAACAGAGGTAAGGAAAGCAGAGTCACCGGAGCTTTTCTTAAGGTAGTATTGCCCGCCTTCCGCTCTAGCAAACGTGGGCAATCTCTTCCCAGGATAAAACCGCAACGTGCAAGGCCTGGGGCGGTAGAATCATGCACCGACGAACGAGAATGACGAGATGTTAATGACGGAGAAGATGATCGGAAGCCGGGGATTCGTCGGAAGAGTATACGTATTACAAAGAGAGTGTTTTCCTCGTGCTCTTGTTCTCTCAACCAACCTCTCCTTAAATAGGAGGAGGTTTGGCTAATGGACAGACCAGACGGATATACCGAGAAGTCTCAAGTGACTCTTCGGTCAGCATGCATGCATATCCCTTGGACAACCCACTCTTCGTTAATCACGGAGTATCCACGTGTGTACAATTCGGTTTCGTAAAAAATTAGCCCCGCCCCGCCGTAGGCGCGCCTCGACCCAACCAGACCCGCGCGTGTCGTGCCGAGCTAGACGGACGGCGACGGCGTGCGAGGAGTCCTCTTCTTGTTCCTTTCATAAGCTTAATTAAATGCCTAAGCTTAAGGCCACTGGGTATACTCCTCACGCCCGCCGGCGTTAAGGGGTGTTTAACGCCCCGGGGGCGTGAAACACCGCCCCCCTCCGGCGTTAACGGGGCGTGAGGAGCCCTGCGTCATTTGTTTGACGCGGCGTTGCTTC